ATAAAACAGACAAAAATATTATAACATGCACATAAATAAATACTGAAAAATATAAGTAATAAATAAAGTTGAAGATTATAAAGGACAGAAAAATAAATAAGGTAAATATTACAAAGGCAAATAAATAAAGAAGCTAATTAAGAGTTATATACATTTATGTCTCACTTTTTTGTTATTTCTGTATTTTTGTTATTTCTGTATTTATTTTTAAATATGGCAGAGTTGGTCCTTCATAATACAGCAGGTCTACTCTCCAGAATGAAGTTGATCTTATTGGCTAATATCGCTTGTGCCCAGTGAGATCAAAAGTGTGTGCCTACCTGTAGAAACATGGTGAAAAGGGAAACGACTCCCATTACGACGAACATGAGAGAAAAGAAGTTGGCTCTATTTCTGATAAGATTCGGATCTGTCTCCACAAACACCTGAGAGGAGATTAATACAACCAGTTTGTTAGTAACCCTCCAGAAGGCATATCCAGAATTGATAACAGGGCTGGCAGTGACTTACAGTGATAATCTTGGAGAAGAGGACGGCAAAGATAGGTTGCATCGCTCCATTTATGATGGCACAAATTAGCCCTACTAAAATATAAGGCCACTCAGAAGCATTGAGACGCAGCACCCTAAACAACGACACCATGGGGACGTCTTCCTCCTGTAGGGAGAGAATTTGAGCAATATCTTGAGAAAGGATTCAGGACGTGTGAGCTTTTATGTCTTCTAAGTATCAAGAGTTTCATAAAGATTTTAAATTTTTTCACAGTTTTTTAAATCAACAAATATTACCGTACTCTAGAAACGTAACCTAAAACATCACCTCGTCCAAATTGTCCTCCTCATCCTTTAGCTTTTTCTCTCCCTTCTCTCCAGTCGAAGCAGCGAATGAAGAGCCTCTTGTGGATTTCCTCCTCAGCAGAGGAGACTCCATGATGTCTTTAATGGGACTTTTTTCACCTGCTGACAGCTCGTCCTCATCTTCCCCCTCCTCCGCTTTCTGGAAGGTCTGGAGAGAGGAAAAGTGGAACCCACGGGGGTTTAATTTATAAAAGACAGCCTTTCTAACACTCGATCTGGAGACATATGTATCCATATGTATGTATACCTGCATGGTGACCAGCGTGTGGTAGACTCCTTTTTTCTCCATCAACTCACTGTGAGTGCCCAGTTCTACAACTTTACCTTTCTGGAAGCCTGCAATCACATCAGCATTTCTGATTGTGGAGAGGCGGTGAGCCACAA